TTATTTTCATATTTTCAACTAAATTTTCCATCAAAAGAAGTTGAATTATGTGCTACAAAATATGATTTAAATTTTAATGTGTTAAAAAATGAGTTAAACGTTATTTATAATCATCCCGATTTTTCGACAGCAAATGGTGCCTTAACATTCTTGAAGTTTATGTATGAAAACAATTTATTAGACGTATTTTCAGAAACAAAAAAATTATTGAAAATTATTTGCACATTACCGATGGTGACAAGTGAATGCGAACGATGTTTTTCGACGTTAAAACGTATAAAGACATTTTTACGAAATACAATGTGTCAAGAAAGATTGTGTGCCTTGGCAATGTGTTCAATAGAAAAAAAACTAGTGCAAGAAACCACGAATTTCAATGAACTAGTTATAGAACATTTTGTTCGTAACAAAGAAAGACGTATGGATTTTATATATAGAAACATTAATTAAAAAAATTGAAAATAATTTAAAGTGGGGGATACCTATTGCATCTACTGGACACGCGATTAACAAAATTTTATTTATATTTCTTATGTCAACAAATTTAAAAGGAACTTTGAGTTCGCCCCATCACCGTTGGGGAAGTCTGGAATTAGGTCCACCTCCTCGTGGTTCCAGATGGTAAACAGAAATTATCGATTTTCAATTATCAATTTTCAATCAATAATTTCTGGCTAACGGACCTCTAACTTGACATTTTTCTAAATTTTTAATAAAAAGAAACAATAATTTTTACCTAGCATAAATTTTAAATTTAGCATAATACTGTGTATTAATTTTGCCCCCCCAACAGAAAAAGTCACGAGCCGCCACTGGTCGCCATTGTTCTAAGGTGGTACGGAGTTCGCAGGGTTCGCTAGGACGTCATAAAAAGATTCACAAGCAGTATTAGGATCTGTACACTCGTCCTATGGAAGAAAGTTTTCATGGGTAATAAAAAGAATGCAGATATGAAGAGCAAAGAATGGTACCCTTCTTCGTTTACTAACGGATCGTGAGACTTCACTACAGTATAATTCATATTGGGCAGCACTATATCAAGGAGTCTGTTATTTTCATTTAGCACTTGTTTGCATTGTTTCCAATTGATAAATTCAATAAGATCAATTAAAGGAACAATGTCTGGTTGACCGAGTTTCACTCGGCTCGTTTGGTAGTATTAGATCAGATTAGGACAGATAAATATGCGTATAGTATGCATTTTGAAGTACACGCGCTACTTAAAAATACACATTAAAAAAGAAATTCCATAAGCAATCTTTGTTTTAAACACTGATAAGTGACATGTAGAGATTAAAGAACAGAAAACTGGAATTATTGTTTGACATCTCATTTGTTACCCAAGTTTTCTCTCTGTCGTTTTTTTTTTCCTAGTTCTCTCTCTCGACTCTAGAAAAAGGTCACAACCACATTCTTACTGCCAGAAGAGTTTCGCCTCTGGTGTGGTTAACATACTGAGTTACCGTGCTCTTTTGTGTTATTCCTAATTTCTCAATCTCAACCCTGCTCCCGAAGATGCCATTTACGAAAGTGTGCGAAACTTTGAGCCCAAAAACTCAAATAACACGGTCCCATCCCCGAAAACGATCACATGTTGACACTGACCGTGGAACCTCTGAAATGAATGCTTGACAAAATAATCTCAATTCAACACACTTTCGTGTGCCTTTTATCCGCTCACTGTTTAGTTTTTGGTAAATTTTCTCACCTCAGGAGGTGAATTTCAACGTCCTCTATACAGTGGAGTATGTTTCGGTACGTACAATTGAAGATAAAAAGGTACGTCAAACGTACTGTCAGACTGTCACCCAAACTTCTCATATAAAACAATCTCGTGTTCGTGTAGTGTCATCTGATGTTGCCTAGCAATAAATATAATTCACTGCCTGAAAATTGCTGAAAATGCATGAAGCTGTAATTTTCAGAAGTTAAAACTATGATCAATCGATTTTTTGACCCAAAAAACCCCTAACCTGTAAATTTCATCGAAATCGTTAGAGCCGTTTTCGAGAAACCCATTATATATATATATATATATATATAAATATATATATACAAACTTTGCTCGTTTAATAGTATTAGATTAGATTAGATATTTGCCTGTAATGTGAATACTTAGATCCTGCCACAACTATAAATTCCAGCAAGCCGAAATTTGATTTGTGTTTGTTTTTGAATACCAGGATTTTTGGTGGTCTCCCGTTTTCATCTATCTGTCTGTCTGCCTGTTTGGTGTCTGTATCCATTTTATTAGACACGTAATCTCCGAAACTGCTGGACCGATTGTTGTCAAATTGTATGTATTGTTAGAAATATAATGTAAACTTGCGAGCATTAAACCGGGCCACACAAATCGGGATACTATTCACATCTGACTTTGAATCAAATTTTCCACCGAACTATATTTACACTTAAAGAAACTGAAAAGCCATTAAAAAAACCAGATGTTTGTCTTTAAAACAGAGTTACGAAAAACCTCATGAAATTATTTTGCAATATTCTTTTTTCGGCAAAAAAGAAAAATATTCAATAACGAAATTTTTTATGTTAACAAAATCAACAATTTAAAGAAGAAAATGATGTTGTTGCCACCCCTAGCTCTAATAACCCCTCGCATTCGTCTATTCATTGATTCAATTAAGGTGACCGACAACTTCTTGCCCATTCTTCTTCATGGCTATTCTGAGCTCTTGGGACTAGGACCCGGGATCCTATCTCTAATTCTTCGTTTAAGTTCATTCCACAGATGTTCTATAGGATTCATATCCGGGTTACGTGTTGGCCAGTCCAAACAGGATATACGCTATATTTGAGTAGTGGCCCGATTTTAATGCTCGCAACTTTAGATGGTTAAATGTTAACCAAAATCTAGTTAATCATCCCCACCAACAATTTGATGACGTCATCTCAATGAACGGTATACTTATAGTATACGAATCCGCTTTCAGTTTTTTTCGCTAAACATTCAAATTTTCACACAAACAATTGCACGGTATAATAACGTTATATATGAGCTCGCGGCTCAGTGACTCAGCGGGTTTGTTGGCGAACCGGCGACATTCCGTCGTGGGTTCGATGCCGAACTTGGCCTTTTTCTTTTTTTTTTTCTTGCACTGGTAATACGCTGTGACTACTTTTCTTTTCTGCTGTGACTAGTATTATCCATGTTGACGTCATCACAAATTTTTTATTGATCAAATTAAAAACGAGTCAGTCACTCCATTGTCTCGAAAATGAGAGAATACGCGCGTCTTTATACCGTGTAGTTTTTTTTTCTCTGAACATAGGATAATGCATGTATGTTGGGTTGCATATTTATCCTCCAATGGATTGATTTGGAGTTTTAAAAACTGAACATAAGATCACATAAGATTCGTAATAATTGAGGAGTAGGCCATGTCAACGATGACATTTACAGTAAAATTTTTTACAAATTTTTTTTAAAAAGGTCAATAACGTAAATTTTCTGTTCTTTAAAGTAGTACTTATTACAATACCTTAACATGAAGACAATAGTGCCAAATGTCAATGGCAATATCTTTGACAGATCCTAAATCTCGATTAGATTTTATGTTCAGTTTTTAAAAGTCCAAGTCAATCTATTACAAGCAGGTATGCAACCAACTTAACATTTATCCTATGTTCAAAGTAAAAAAAAAACCTCACGGTATGTATAATAATGATAAAATAAGAGTTATAATGTTCACAACATTTTCTTCTATTGTGGTTTAATTAATAATTTTAGTTTTCTGTTTTGAGAAGACAAACTCATTCAAATCAAGCTAATTTCGACTTCTTTCTATATATAAACATAAATAAACGCTTCACATTGCTATTACATAGTGTTGAAGGACATTTTATTCCATTAGTTACGTGTTTTAAATATATTTTACATTGTCCATACGGCGCAGGGGCTGCAGGGGTGTTATTTATGCCGCTGCGTTTTCCTTTACAGAGGTTATCGCAAAACGAAAATCGTAATGTCAAATTTTATATATTTTTTAAAGAGCTGAATTTGTCGGATTATACTTATAGCCTTCGACCAATTTTTTATTGATCAAATTAAGAACCTCATTGTGTAGAAAATATCACGTCTTTATTTAATTATAATCAAATAAGAATAATAATCATATTCGAAATATTTTCTTCCAATGTGGGTTAATTAATTATTTAGTCCTCAGACAACTCATTCAAATCAAACAAATTTCTACGTGACATTCTTTCGATAAATATATTTCATGTTGTCCGTATGTCTGCAGACGACACTGCCTTGTAATTTGCACGGGGTTGATTTAATTAATTAAATCAAGGACGGTTTACCCCATTTTCCCGGAAATTTGAAATACAGTACTCTTGTTACTAGTATACACTACACCTCCTGAAAATGATACAGGTGCTTGAGAAAATGTTGATAATGACGTCATTACAAAATTTTGTGATGGAAACACTTGAAACATACACAGAGGATGATTCTTTACTTTTACTTTAGCACTGCTCACACTCGATGAGTTAGATTATATAATTATGTTAAGTTTGTGTAGGTTTTGCGCGTATACGAACTGTTTTTCGGCGAAAAGTCATTCGATGCTAACTACAATTAAGTACCACATGGTGGCGGTCATTATGGATGGAGTTGAAACACCGACTGTATATTTTAAGTCTACTAGATGTGGTATTATTTTGCAAGTTATGTCAAAATTTTAATATGTATGATAAGAAATGCAGAGAGAGAAGTTATTGTGTCAGACGAAGCAACGATTACATTTCGTTCAACGTTCACTAATTTCTTCATTTATTTTATTTACAGCTACGATAACAGATACTACCTGTGTTGCAGTTTGTGTTGCAGTCTTGTGAAACTGACAGCAATACAGTAGAAATTTCCATTCAAATAGGACATTACCCGAGAGGATAATATTTTTAAAATTCCATAATTCCACGCTATCGCGGTAACTAAATATTTTACTGCTTACTACAAATTTAACAATACTTTTACTTACGTAAATCATTTTGTACTGTCTCTTATAGAACTTGAAATGGGTGGCTAGATCCACAGAAAGCACAAAATCTTTCAACAAATTTAAAAACAATGCATATTTTTCTTTTTCAAGCGTTTCCAAAAAATTGCATCCCTGAAAATATAATAATGATCAAATAAAACATAAGTTAGTTAGGTATGATGTGGTGACAAAACAATTTGCAATAATTATGATCTATTAGATGTGTGGTGAGTATTTTCCGACCTATGTGAATGTCAAAAATACATTGAATTTTTCGTATTCGAATAAATGTCAAATCTGAAAGATTGTAGTCGACCTATTTATTTACAATTTTACAGATTATAATAATTTATATTTCCATCTATCAAAGAAATTTACAATTGTGTGTAAATATCTTCAGTTTTTCAATAAGCTCATGGAGAATTGAATTTTGTACGGTTGCAGCTTTTCCGATTTAAAAATATTATGTGTAAACCATATGTAAACGTGACATGTACGCGGATGACATAAAAAAGTTATCAAACTATAGTCTTTGCCATTTCTATTGAAACACCACTTGTTAATCGTAAATTTGGCAACGTTCATATTCAGAGAATTTTCTAACTAAAAGCCGTTGTCAATCAACTGAAAGCTGTTACCAATTGCTAAATTTTAAATAAAATCAACATGTGGTGTTTCAATAGAAATGGCAAAAACAATATTAGAAGCCAATGGTTTATGTCAAAAAGGGCCAAAGTCAACTTGCTCTAGTATATCAATATTATTTTTGTAATGCAATGTGAAAAACTTTGAAGGCAGAGTGACATTATTAACGAATTTTAGGAAATGAATAAGTATTCTTGTGTGGAATACTCGTAGAATTTAGAAAAAAAGAAAAGAATATTAACGAACTTTAAAATATATCAATGAAAAAAAATTCATTGTAGGTGTGATGAATGACAGTTAAAAAGTACTCACTTCTGTGTTCAGAATTCGAAGAAGCTGCGATAAGCGATGTCTTTCCATAATCGAACCATAACTAGAATATAAGCTTGCTAAAATATTATTAGCTTCTCGATGAAAAGGATTTGTTATTCCTCTGTAATCCACATCGTGACATAAACACGAAATAAAATATGCCAACGCTTCCAAATGGCTGAAATAAACATGAATAAGTTTCCTTAAAAAATCAGAAACAATGTGGCATAAAGCAGTGATTTTCGTTGTGTAAAGCAAGGTACAGTCGCGGTCGTTCAACAGTACCAGAGTGCATTTTGGCGCATTATTTAAAAATTTTAAATATTTGCACAGCCTAAATTAGGTTTTGCATCAAATTTGACAATGTCACTATCACCTTTTGACAAAACAATGTCGTACACACATGATTTTGGAGAATGCCACAGTTAACAATTTGGATTTTAAATTGAAAAAATTGACATAAATAATAATAATAATCGTTATTTTTTTTAAAGTCCACCACTTGTTGATTGCAGTTGCCATAACAAAAAAACCCTATGTGTTAGTAATTTTGTTGAACAAATTGGCAATGATTATTTTTAAAATCTGTCACAATTTTTCCGCAAAATGTCACTTTTCAAACTGAAACCATCATGCCACGCAAAACAAGAAATTTATTAGATCACAAATTGAAACACGCCCTTGCTAATTGTTGTGATGAATTAAGAAGTTTAGCTTCATATTTGACTAGTCGCCAGTTGGAAGAAAAACTGTGCAAAATTTTTGTTTTGACGTGCTCTTTCAGATAATTTTTGGTTCAAAATTTTCAATAATCATTATTCTAGATATCTAGAATAGCTGTTCGCAGATTTTGCAAGCTTCTGCCAATAGCCAGGAGCTAGTTTCTTCAAAAACCTACGATGGTCGCAAAAAATCCGAATTTTATATAAAAAATTATTGTTGCGAAGAACGGAGTCGAAAAATTCATGAATATAAATGGTCAGAGAAATATTTCAGTTTAGATATATTATTAAGATTTGCTAAATGAAATTTAGGGTATACAACTTCTCGCTCTTTATTATACAATATATTAAAAAAGATGGGTTACAAGTATTAAGTGGAAGGCAATAAAAAAATTATTGTTGAGAGACCATACATCAAGACATTAAAATTAAAATACCTAAAAACTTATCTCAGGTACAAAGAAGATTACTCTAGTGTAAAGTCTAATTATGGCATTAATTTCGAAATGATACAGAAGGAAAACTTAAATTTTTCTAAATCCGTTCTGTTGAGATTATTAAGAATACTACATACACATAAAATTTTAGTCAATATTGTTGATGGTTCGTAAGATATATATTTGTTGGGGTAGGAGTATTGAATCTCCCATAAGAAAAATACGGAAGGAACCGTTTTGGGTCGTCTGCCCGATTGCGTACCGGTTTTGAGTCGCCGCCCACGAGCCGTGCCGCCGTCGCCATTTTTTTCCTCCGTCCCGCAAAAAGCCAAGACCGTTGAGCACGCGCGATTTCTCGTTCCATAATTCCTAGTATGTATAATTACTATACATATACAGGCTGTTCATTTTATCTGTTCACGCCTGAATATTTCTGCGTAGGCTACCCATTTTACGTTTTATAAACAGCTGTGAATAATTTTTATTTTAAAATAATAATGAACGCATGGAAGACAATGATCAGAACCAAAATTATGACAGATTATTTCTGTCGGCCAAATATTTTCAATTTTCGTTTGCTTTTAGTATATTAAAGAACAAGTTTCATAAGGCAAAAACTGAGGCACGAATCCAAGTTTATAGAACGAGCGGCGAAGCCGCGAGTTATATAAAGGATGAGTGCCATGATACAATAAATACTAGGTATGATATTGCGCACGTACGGAGTGGGGGAGTGACGTCACTCGGTGAGTAAACACAGGCATTTCGCGCGTATTCTGCAACGTTTTTCTGTCTTCCACGTATTTTTCAGAAGGTTTAGTGGCTGCACGTTATGTTTTAATAATTTGATAAAGTTACAACGATGCGTTGTGGCGTTTTTGGGTGTAATAGCGATAAACAATCAAGACATTTTCAAAAAGACATACAATTTTATTCGTTTCCAAGGGACAAGTATGGGTTATTTCTTGTCGTTCGGACTCTTTTATAGTAAAAAATGCAGGAGTGTGTCCACAGCATTTTAGTGAAGACGATTTCGAGCGAAATTTGCAACACGAACTTCTAAATTATCTTCCTAAAAAAGGAAAAAAAAAAACACTAAAATTTGGAGATCAGCCAAGTTAGTTAAAGACATTTGTTCTAGGGATGAAATCTCAGAAATTAAGTAGGTTATTTTACTTGAATAATGATATAAATCAAACAAATTCAATTAAAAAAAAAAGTTCCCAAAGAACATCTTGTAGTACTCTTTTTTTAGCAATTATTTTATATTTTCATTTATTTTATAGCACTAAAACCAATGACGCAAATGCTATTTCGGATGATAAAACAGAATCTACAAGTAAGTCTGTTGGGTATATTGAACATTTATTGTATTTACTCAAGGATTCTTTTTTTTTTGCACAATTACTTTTATGTTTGCACGGTTTTTTTTGCATGATGTATATTTCTTTCTCAAGGGAAACGATTATTTGTATATTTAATTATGTTTTTTACGTAGTACATACAAATACAGATCAAGATATACAGACAGAAGGTCTAGAAGCAAAAATTGCTTATCTTAAAAAACCAAACGACGAACTTTCAAAAGAAAATCAAGCTATAACAATTTTCACTCCAAGACAAATCATCGAAAAATTGTTAATTAACATGTAGGTTACAGTTCAATAGTACATTGTACTTATTTTTAGTGGTTACTTTTTCTTGTACTCAGTTTTTGAAAGATTAGAACATAATTTCTAACGTATATTTATATTTAAGATAATTATGTTCACGTTAAATGTGCACAATTACCATAACAACAAGTCTGTTCATGATAATCAAATAAAAACCTAAAAAAGCAAAAAATGGATAATTCTGAAGATCTTGGAATTTTCAGATAACCTGTGCGCTACTAACTAACGAGAAAAATAGCACTTTTTTATAATTATCTTCAAATTAAAGCCGCACTTTTCTATTGAGTACACGAAAAATAATATTAAACGCGAAATTTTAATTTGATGCACACAATAGAAATACGTATCAAACTCCGTTAAATTCGTTTTTACAATTTAATTCAGATAATTCACGTAAATTTAGTTTTCAGGTTGTTTAATGCAGCATTACAATTATTATATTATAATATAGAGGTTGCACAACACATTTTTTTAAATACAAAATGAATTATAACAATAAAAATCAAAAATATTAGCGATTCTTCGTGCTTTTATGTTGAAATCCCAATAGTTCTACCATTGTTTAAGTATATTATAGTTGGACAACCTAATACAAATTTTACTTCGCCTAAATAGTGAGCTTTAGGACAAGGAATCCAGGGGGCGTGGGACAAATTTTTCGTCAACGCACATTTTCACTACAGTGAGCCAACGTATTAGGTTTATTTTACTCTACATCAGATGGCGCCATCAAACATTAGCAAAGACAAACACCCTTCACTCTGCTCTTATACGAGGAGTTATCCATAAATCCATAATTAACATTGTTCCGTAGACAGTAATGTGTATAAACCAGAGATATGTAAAAGACTAGATACAGATATTTAATGTTCTCGTGGACATACGTTTAGGCTCAAGATGTCACTGTACGTTTATATCTCCCTCTTTTTCTCTAGCACGTACAATGGTAACCCGATATCTGAAGGTCTCGCTCTGTACGGCGCAACCAATCAGTTGGCGCAACGTTTGTCGTTGATGCTGTTCTTGTGTTTGTGCCGGTCCCTGTCAGACCAATCAGACTGTGGGTGGTTATGATTATTTATAATTGCCGCCATCAGAACGGGCCAATAACAAGACAACCACCTTTTAGAGAGTGATCGATGTAGCCTTCACTTGGCAATCCATAGTACTGGTGCTGATATAGAAAAGGATAGGCGACACAAAGTATTGCTACTCTTAGATCATAGATGTTGGCCCTAGATTGGGAAAGCTATAACCGCATCTGTCTTTTACATATCTCTGGTATAAACATATACGTACAAAATCTGAAAATATGCTTGACATAAAAAATATGAAGCAACGCGTTGTAACGTGATACGAAAGAATTGAATTTAAATGCATTTGACTCCTATTTTTATTTGACTATATCTGAAGACTGACAGAAACTTTCCAAGGGTTTTTAAACTGGTATAATTGTTTAGTTTTACAAGATTAAAGTAAAACAAGATTTTAAGTAAAATGTAGATTCGTGGTTTTACAAAAATATTAACACAAAATGAAAATATATGTTCAAAGTAAATAACAGAATGACATAAACTTTCGGCGTTAACATTACAAATAATTACAAGAGAGAAAAAAACGCATTAAGAACTTTAGAGGCATGTTTGTAATATCGAGTTGTTAAAGGCTGCTTTGAAGACTGTTTGTTTCTATGAAAAACAATTGCTGTTATCCGACATTTTGGTAGATTTTGTTCAAAAAATACGAGATAACTAATTGTTTCTTGAACTAGTTTCCGTAACTTCTAAAATTTAAAAAGGATACGCCGTTCTGCTGTAATAAAATCTAGAATAAGGTCAAAATCACACTAATATTACATCTGATTTTGTTAACCACATGAATATAATTTACATTAAAATAAGTTACGGACATTGTTTGAAATGTTTATTATAGTTCGAAACCAAGATAAAATAAATAAATAAATAAATAAAATGTGCAGTTTATAAACTTCAGAATTTTAGTAAAAATATAATCATGTTTGAAGCTTTATTTTGTCTGTTCGATTTTATTGGGTGTGTTGGGCCCCTCTCGGGATATAACATCGACATCAGTGCACCGACCCAACGTTCTTCAACCGATGGGATGAATTATTACTTCCGTTATGCTGGCCCTACACAACACACAGCAATTTGGTTTTCAGATTTTCGGCTAGATCTGCACAGTGACATAGAGTATTTTGTTCACGCGAGCATCAAAAATATTACCCCGAAAGCACTTCTTCAAGTGTTATTTTTTTTAAGATGTCATATTTGTCAGCGTTTCCAAAATTTTCTTCTTTGCACAGGTCAACTAATTTTTCGTAAACCG